CTCAAAGGAGGTTCCTTGATGCCGGTGAGGGGGCTCTTGATCTAAGGAATTGGATGTGCTCCAATTCATTGAATTAAGCCTGAATGCCTTCCATAACCCCCTCCCTCCCCCACGGGCACTGTATGATCCATATGGGTTTAGCGCTCCCCATGAAAATAAATGTTGATAAGGTCATTACGAGAGTTTGGCAATGATCATTGCTTGGAGGTTATCTTGTGAGCTGTACCTTACGTTATGTGACCTTGAGCTGTACCCTGCACTGAGTGACCTTGTGAGCTTGCGCCCTACATCATGTGACCTTGAGCTGTATCCTACACAGTGACCTTGTTACCTGTATTGTGCGACTATACCCTACAAGGTGTGACCAATATGGTGTGAACAGCAAACAAGTGTCCACAAGACCACAACTACGTGCCTGATGGGACACAACCACGATCCGGCGGGACCACAACCACGTGTCCGGCGGGACCACAACCACGTGTCCGGCGGGACCACAACCACGTGCCCGGCGGGACCACAACCACGTGCCCGGCGGGACCACAACCACGTGCCCGGCGGGACCACAACCACGTGCCCGGCGGGACCACAACCACGTCTCCGGGGAGGACCACAATCACGTGCTGTTAGTCTTCCGTTAATACTGAATACTGGCCTATTATTATATGCACGCAGAAGCGCTAAACCCATATGGGTCATCTTGTGCCTGATTAATGGAAGGCAGTCAGGTCTGATCCAATGAGCTCAAATTCCTTGGATCAAGACATAACAGAATCGTCAAGACGCTTCCCATGACGGGTAATCATCGGTATAATTATTATTATTATAATTAAGCGCTAAATACGTAACGATATGAACATGATGGATGTTTCATTATTTTTATTTATTTTATTACTTAGTTTTACTATTTTATTATTACTTATTTTATTAGTTTTATTACTTATTATTCTCATTACTTATTTTTATTATTTTTTTACAGATTTATATTTACAATTGTCTTATTTGTTACAAGCAAATTTAGGGTAGTTGCTTAATATAATTATTAATTAAATATTCTAAACATAATAAACAAGTATGTCAAATATACTTGTAACAGAAGTCAATTGTAGACATAAATCCAGATGTACTTCTGTTACCCCTTTGTAGCATATTATTATTTTGAAAGTTCTAAACCCATAGGGGTCATATAGCGCCTGAGGTATTTACTGATATATTAAAAAATATTAAGAAACAAAAAAAAACTATGAAGTAAGATATGTGTTAATTTGTTTTGATTATAAATTGTGTGGATGGTTGTCGAGGCAAATTTGATACAATACTGAACTCTTAATACCATCCCCAATATGGTTTTATATTATTTTTACATTCGTAGGGGAATCGTTAAATCCGTAAGGGTTAAAATCAGGTTTAATCACAGGAGCCGGGTACCTTTATTTCACTTGGTCAGCATGTAGGTAACCCTCTTTGGAAGGTGCCAGTGTTCTTACCTGCACGATACATGTACAGTACACGCGCGCGCGCGTGTATGTGTGGTGTGTGTGTGTGTTGCGTAATCCCTGATCACAACACCAAAAAAACACTACTGGTACTGAAATGTATTTTCAAACAAATCGCTGGATCTTGAACAGTAATTAACTAAGGAATTTTGAAATTAAAATATGTGTAAAAATTGCATTTGCATACACAACTAAAATCGCACTAAGTTCTTACAAAACATACAGCGAAATAAATATGTCTTAATAAAATACATTATATTGGCTTTACGCTCTAGCTTGTAAAACACACTTTTCCTTAACATACAAATGAAGATTGTGGTGGGATATTTATTTTTTACTTCATTTACGATTGTAAAAGCAACTAGTCCACTTTAGAACGCAATTAAATTCCAAGCGCTTTCGAGATCTGTTATCTCTATTACATTCTCAAAAATGGTATTTCCTGTAGAATGTGATTGAAAGATCACATAAGAGCTTGATATTAAATTCCCACTTGTTTCTTGTGATCTTGTACGTAAGACTTCCAGTTTTGGTCACTGCCCATTTCCTCAAATTTCAGAGTAACAGGTAAGGGGAGGGATGCGTCCAGCAGTTTGCTTTACGTATTTAACAAAATATTTATCTTGTCTTATGGCGTCATTTGTCTGTTAATAGAGATTGCTGTAAAGTAAATTCATCCATGTACGTTCATGCTTACCCCTAACATGATTACCGCTAACAGTGCTCACACAACACCAGTACTCACAGCCTCACAAACAGCACTACTGTTCACACAGCCTCACACTCACCACCAGTCCTAACAGCCTCACAAACACCACTACTGTTCACACAAACACAGCACTGATGCTCGCACAGCCTCAAAACAGCACCAGTGTTCATACACAGCACCTGTGTTCGCACACAGCATCAGTGCTCACGCACAAAGCACCGGTGCTCACACACCAAGTGTTCACACAACCACAGCTCAATCCCAGTCACATAGAACAGATGACAGGATTGATATTACATTTATACAATGCATTAAACCTATAACGTACATGTTCAGAAACCATGTGGTAATTTACCAAGAAGCAATACCTAAGACTAGGTACAAGAGCTGGGTGGTAGCAAAGGTTAGGTGGGCGGCGGTCCCCCCCATACCACCCCCACCGCCAAGGTCAGCCAGCACCCCGCTGTGAGGGTGGGGTACTGTTCTGCCCTGACCTCACCTCCCGTCGACCCACGACCTTACAACAAAAAGGTCGGGGTGAAGGTGTCAAGCCGGGCCAGGTAGTTAATGGTTATTTGGCTGCCTTGTAAAGAAGAAAGGTGTACCTTCAGCTTCGTACCATGTGGCGCCGCTCTGCCTAGCTGCACCAATGAGCGGCGCCACTAACCACGACCTCCAGCGCCATATATGACCTCTACTGGCCAACGCCTTTCTCATGCATCGTACAGAGGCAAAAAAATTTATTCCCCAGATCGACGGTCATTAATACAAATAACGGCTCGGTAATAACACATCATTATTTCAACTGTCCATTCTAGCCACTCACATACATCGCTATACTATTTTTTCATGGGGGAAGCGCTATAAAACGAACTTCACAACTCTTGAACTATGTTCTGAGATTTAAAGAACCTAACCTGGGAGATTATTCAAGTACTCGTGAAAATAAAAAAAAATAAATACAGAACAGGCCTGGTCATGGACCGGGCCGCGGGGGCGTTGATCCCCGGAATAACCTCCAGGTAACCTCCAGGTAACACAAACGCGAACACTTAGAATAACCTGGAATATTATTCATATGCTCATGAAAAAAAATAAATACGAAACACACACGAACACTTAGAATAAAACTAATAAATACTGTACTATTAGCACAAACAGAACACAAATACTATACAAACCAAAACTATAACATTGGTTACGGAGAGAAACCTAATATTCTTTAGTAAATAAATTGCGCAGTTATTATGGATATAGATAAAAGTAATTTATGAGCTAGAATATCCTCATGATTCCTCCAGAGGATTAACTTCACCGTGGCTCTTTCTATCTCTCAGCTCACAGTAGATCTGGGATCTGGCTGTTGGCGAAAGTAGTGAACTTTGATAGTGTGTGCAGGTTCGAATCCTGCTGTGGACTGACGGATAATGTTTGTTAAAATTTCGCCCGTTTGCTAATTGTTAAGCATTATATATATATATATATATATATATATATATATATATATATATATATATATATATATATATATATATATATATATATATATATATATATATAAAGATAAGTTTACAGTACTTTAATAAACACAATGAAATATTTTTTTATCGTTAACTTCTTAATTATTTTTTCGAAATTATTGTATGCACAAATTTTCGCTTGTTTTATTCGGCAAGAAGAGCGTTGCTATTTAAGCCAAAATAGCAAATTTTACCTATTCGGCACGACATATATAATTATATTTATATATAATGGTATGATGATTTCAATGTATTTCAGAGCTTTACTTGGTTTGCTCTAATTGTGTCTAATGATTAGCTGACGGAGCACTGAGTCTCCACTACTCCTTGAGCTAAATTACGCACGTGTTAGCGCTTCTATTTAAAAAAAAAAGTCGGATTCATAACCTTTTTGCAAACGAAACTAGATTTTTTTGTAGTGATGCAATTCAGTTGTAAGACTATAAATTACATTTGTCTCTGGACAGTTTAAATAATCTCTGACGCCAGTCGCAGTGGCCGCCGTCTCTGCGCTTCAAGGAACAAATATAAAGACAAATATATACAAATATAATAATATATATATATATATATATAATATATATATATTACAATCATTATTATTTTTTATTAATACATATCGGCCGTCTCCCACCAAGGCAGTGGCCCGAAAAAGAAAAACTTTCATCATTCACTCCATCACTGTCTTGCCAGAGGCGCGCTTACACTACAGTTATAAACTGCAACATTAACACCCCTCCTATATAAATTAATTATATATATATATATATATATATATATATTATATATATATATAATATATATATATATATAATATATATATATATATATATATATATACTATAACACATAATACTAACATATGGACGAATATTTCCCATAGCCAGTGCTCTTCAGTATGTTTCTCGGATGCATAAGTTAATGCCGATATTTAACAGTTCCGGCGAGTCTCGCCAGGTTCACTTCATGAATAATGTCGTAAAACTGGTTCACCATCCTAGCACATTCATTAATATTAAATAAAAATAAAAACTGGTGTCTGAAAGCTGCACATGCCGTTATCATAAAAATATTCTCTTATCTGCTCTTAACGCACAGCTATGATTTATGTAAGTTCTGAGCACGAGTCCTGTTTACCACCTAAGGTTGAACAAAGACAACCTTGTAAAACATTTTTTTTAAATTAAATGTGTCCTATAACCCGTTATTAGAGCAGTTAACAGAGGTTTTTGGATATGCGGAGCAGCGACTAAATCGACGCTAGGCTACTCTGCCTACCTTCCAGCCAGCGGAAGAGTTGGAGTCGCCCTTGTCCTTGAAGTATGGCACGTTCTGCACCATCCAGTCGTAGATCTGGGAGAGGGTGGCGCGTCCTTCAGGGGACGACAGGATGGCTTGAGCGATGAGGTCAGCATAGGACATGTTGCCCCAGGGATTGCGGCGGGAGGTGTTCTTCTTGGGCGGCCCGCCCGAGGGGTCGCCGATGGCGCCCGGAGGCCGGGCTTGGTCCACTGGCACCGGGCCCTCGGCGCCCACCGCAAATGGTTCCTCACCTTCCCTGTAGCCCTCGGGGCATGGTTGGGGCCACGTGTTGGCACGCGAACGGGCTACGGGCTCAAAGTTTGGGTCAATCTCAAGGCGGTGGAGAGGTGGAGGCTGGCGGGTGGTTGGTGTTACGGGAGTAAGAGGCATCCCCACCTGCAGGGGCGGGCCGCCCACGTGCCGACCACCACCCCCTGGAGGCGTGTGGCCGCTCATACCCACACTAGTGGGCGGCAGTGCCACAGGCGTAGTTTCCATATCATGCCCTGAATCGGGTTCCTCTTTCACTAACGAAAAGAAACTTGAAGCCATGGTGTAAACAAGTGTGAACAATATGACACTAAGAGTGATGAAGTGAGTGGTAGCACAGTGATGGTGGAGTTAAGAGGCGGTGTCACCGGGGCCAGGTGAACATGATCATCACACAGAGGAACACGGGCGGGTGAACATGATCATCACACACAAGAGCACGCGTCCTTAGGCTACGCGCCCCACCAACTGACTGACGACTACACCGATGTACCTCGCCATGCCGCCTCGCGCCACCAGAGCGGCGCCACCAGCCACGACCTCCCTCGCCCTATATCACCTCTACCCTACACCTAACGTCACACCATACACCACAACTATTAACAAACATGCTCACTTAATGCAAAAAATACAGCATAGCCTAACTGGCAAGCAAGGATTTGGTTAAGTGCGCAGCAGGGGACGGGCTGTCGACTTGCACAGGTATGGCTCAGACTCTGCAAGCCTCCCAGTTGCCAGACACACTACCATCACCCAGACACTCGACACATATTACAACACCTCATTTAATACACACACACACACACACACACACATTAAAGGAAACCATCTTCACTTCAATGCGGAGATATCAATATAAACAGTGTCGCAGATATTCCGGTTTGAACCGATTTTCCCGAATACGTCATATTTAATAAGCAACTAACTTTAGATATTTACATTTTGCGAATACTCTATTTCAATAAAATTATTGACAAACTGATAAACAAAACAGTCTACATTATAAAATAAAGTTTGGTGAAACAGCTCAATTATTATTTTTATTTATTATTATTCATTATTATTATTATTACTATTATTATGGGAAAGCACCAAATCCGTATTGGTTATACAGCTCCCGGGGACTGGGAAGTAATCAGGGTTGATCCAAGGAACGGGAGGACACCTCCAGATCTTTGAATTAATACATGCTTTAGTTATTATACCTGCTTCATCGGACATATTAGGAGCAAAAAAAAAAATCTCATGCACAGAGTGAAGAGGTGGTTGTCACCGGGATGATCTGGAGGTATTCGTCGTCACCAGGAAGATCTGAGGTATGCATCGTATCCAGGATGACATAGAGGTAGTCGTTGTCACCAGGACGACCTAGAGGTGGTCGCATGAGGCCTGGTCTCAGACCGGGCCGCGGGGGCATTGACCCCCGAAACCCTCTCCAGGTAAGCTCCAGGATGATCTGGAGGTGGTCGTTGTCACCAGGATGAGGTAGAGGTATTCGCCATCACCAACATGACCTGGAGGTATTCTTCGTCACCAGGATGATCTGGAGGTATTCGTCGTCACGAGGATGATCTGGAGGTGGTCGTCACCAGGATGATCTGGAGGTATTCGTCGTCACCAGGATGATCTGGAGGTATTCGTCGTCACCAGGATGATCTGGAGGTATTCGTCGTCACCAGGATGATCTGGAGGTGGTCGTCACCAGGATGACCTGGAGATGGTCGTTATCATAAGGATGATCCGGAGATAATCGTCGTCACCAAGATGAAATTAAGGTAGTCATTGTCACCAGAATAATCTGGAGGTATTCGTCGTCACCAGGATGACCTGGAGGTGATCGTTGTCACCAGGATGACATAAGAGGTGGTCGTTGTCACCTGGATGCATTCGTCACCAAGACGATCTGGATGCGGTCGTTGTGACCAGGATGACCTGGAGGTATTCGTCGCCACCGGTTTGACCTGGACATAGTCGTCGCCACCGGGATGACCTGGACATAGTCGTCGTCACCAAGACGACAAGGGGGTCGTTGTCACCAGGATGACCTGGAAATGGTCGTTGCCACCAGGATGACCTGGAGGTGGTCCTTACCATCAGGATGAGCTGGAGGTGGTCGTTGTCACAAGGATAACCTGGAGGTATTCGTCATCATGATGACCTGGAGGTGGCCGTTGTCACAAAAATAACCTAGAGGTGTTTGTCACCAGGATAACCTGGAGGTGGTCATAACCAGGATGACCTGAAAGTGGTCGTTGTCACTGGAATGACCTGCAGGTGATTGTCGTCACCAGAATGACAAGGTGGTCGTTACCAGGATGACCTGGAAGTGGTCATTGTCACTGGAATGCCCTGGAGGAAGTCGTGGTAAAAAGGATAACCTGGAGATGGTCGTGGTTACCAGGATGACCCGGAGGTGGTCGTGGTCACCAGTATAACCCAGAGGTGGTCGTGGTCACTAGGATAACCCGGTGGTTTTCATGGTCACCAGGATAGCTCGGAGGTGGTCGTGGTCATCAGGATAACCTGGAGGTAGTCGTGGTCACCAGTATAACCCAGAGGTGGTCGTGGTCACCAGAATGACCTGGAGGTGTTTTTTTAACCGAGCCTTTGATATGCCTTTGATGGGTTTCGAGAGTTCTCCTCTCGCAGTCCAACCCTGGGCCAGGCTGTTACTTCTGGAGGTCATCTTACCCACTATCCACAACAGCCTGGTTGATCCGGCACTTGGCCGAGATACTTATCGAGTTGCCTCTTGAAAACTTTTACACTTGTTGAGGCACTTTCTGATATTTGCTAAGATTTTAAAAGATTAGGTACTAGTTGTCAAAGACACTTGTAGATAGACACTACGGATACTGAGTGTTTTCTTATTGTGCCCACTGGGCCCCTGCCTTTCACCTTTTTTTTTTTTTTACATTTTCTCTCATATCTCTCTCTCCAGTACACTGATATGGAGGTGCAGATTTATAACTAGGTCCTCAATTACTTTCCAAGTGTATATTATGTATTTCACCTCCGTTCCAGAGAGTACATATTTAGAACTCTGAGGAGTTCCCAGAAATTCTGAATGCTTTATTTACTCTATGCGGGCTGTAAATCGTCTCTGTATATCTCTCTTGTCTTCAACGGAGTCATCAACACTGGACATTATTAAGCGAGACAGTTCGGGTGATTTGCATAGTGTCATTACTGACATTCCCAATGTTTTAGACTTTCTAGCTATGTACTCCGTCATTTTCCTGGCTTTCGAAACATTTGGCTTATTGTGTTCTTTAAGTTAGGTCACTTGATATTATTACACCCAGGTTCTTCGCATGTTCCTTTTGCTTTATGTGGTGATCCTCTTGCTTTTTGTAAAGTTTCCCTGTGGCGTTCATCATTATTTTTCATATACAAGCAGATGGAACTTGTCACCACTGAGCATAGGTTACTGGCCGTCTTCTTGTCACCAGTGCCGAGGTTGGGAGACCACTCTCTCCCGCCTTCGCATTGGTCACACTCGTCTTACTCATGGGTATCTCATGGAGAGGCACCCTGTTCCTCTCTGTGAGCAGTGTCAAGTTCCAGTATCGATTAGCCACATTCTGTTAGACTGCCCTCTCTATCAACGAGCACGCAGAATTTACCTCCAACGTCGTCTTCGTTCTACTACTCTCTCTTTACCTTCCCTTCTTGCTGATGGACCCTCCTTTAATCCTGACTCTCTCATTGACTTCTTGACAACGACTGATTTACTCCACAAACTCTGATGATACTTTTCGCACTCCCCTCAGCCCTTTCTAGTTCAGTCTCTTGCTGCCCTTTACCCTTTCACCATCCACTACCCCGCTGTTATCCATAACCTATTACTCATCCATCTCCCTTTTGCCACCTGATGCCCTCGCTTCCTTCCTGCCCTGCAGCGCTGTATAGTCCTTGTGGCTTAGCGCTTCTTTTTGATTATAATAATAATCTACTGCCCACTGAAGACTTAGTTTATATTTTCTTACAATTCTCCCGTGTGTTCTACAGGCTTGATTTTTACGTTTATTTGGGTATCATCCGCAAATGATGTGCAAGTGCTATAAAAAGAGTAGAAACCGCTATGCAGCTCATAAGTTGCAATGCACTTCATACAAGCGACCATGTACGTAGTTAACATAATCTGTCACACAATTCACACTAGCTGCCATATTCACAAAAGCTACTGTACACCTCAATTTAAAGTTCTGGTAGGTTAATTTTAGGTGTCCTAATTTAATACTATTGTTACGCAGGTGTTAGTGGACACGTGGCGCAGGTGGTAGACACGTGGTTATCATGGGGAGCGCTAAACCCGTAGGGATTATATGGAGGGGAGGATGGAAGGTACTCAGGCTCAATTCAGGAAACTGGAGCACATATCCAATTCCATAGATCAAGAGCCCCTCACTACGTCTGTCATCTGCACCACGTGCAGATGACAGACGTGACATAGACTGCAACATTTCGATGCTCTTTCTCTGAGTCAGTGATTAGTGTCGCACTAGAGGCTTCCTGTGATTGGAGGAAATTATGTATCTCTATGACTGGCTGCCTCTACCTAACTACAGGAAGACCAGCTACTGATCTTGCTGGATTGTAACACTCAGTAAGGTACCAAAACACACAATGATGGGGGAATACCTTGACTTGGGAAGTATAAACATATTTAAATTTTTTTTGGAGATTTGCAACCGAAAAAAATAATAGAAATTTCGGTATGTCATGAATGTATAAAATATATGTAGATACTAGTCTATTTTATCATTTGCTACCTTAAAATATACACCAATCTATTTTAAAAAACCTACGCACACAATTACAGTTCGTACATGTCCATTGGCAGTCGAGAGAAATGTCAACAAACGTTAAGAAGCAATATTAAATCATAAATAAATATGAATTTCTTTTTCACGTTTTCTTTTCATTTTTGATGTCCAGTGTTAGTAATACGTATAACATCTACAGTGTTTTATATCATATAAAACAATACTGATGTAGGTACTGATAGACAGATGATTCATCCTGAAAACAGACTAGGTTAACTTACGGTCTCGATAAATGCAGTACAGTACTCTAAATGTATTTTCTCTTCCTTAAGATTTTCTTAATAACATTTTCTTTTCTCTAACTTACTTTCTTGTAAGAATACAGCACATAATACATATAACATACAAAAATATGTGTTAATCAACTGTTTATGTTATCCGTCAACAGTAGGTTACTAAAGGTTAAGTTTTTGGGGAGTCAAAAGTTGCATGCGGATTTTCGACTGCGGGGATGGTCAGCACACATAACCCCCTTGTGTAGTCTATAACTTTCAGCCTAGTAAAAGAACAGACCAGAGCCAGTCAGAAAGCAGTCTGTCGGCTGGTCAGGAAATATTGGGCTAGACCTAGGAAGCAGTCAGCCAGTCACTGAGGAAGGAAGACAGCAACGGAGGTGACACCAAGGATAGTGAAGTAGTGTTGTGATAAAACAGGGATATTGCAACAGTGTAGTGTTGCTGGCTTCAAGTGTTGATCATTAAGTGTATTTTGTACACAGATTTATATTAACATACCGTTATCTGTATTACAACTATTTAAATCCATGTACATTCAACAGTGAAGCTATTAAGGGTATAGTGAATATATATTAACTTTTGATGTATTTTAATGAAGTGCACAGCGTACTTGAAAGTTGTTGCAGGGAAGTGTTTTGTAAATATTATCAAGTGTGTTGGTGTTTAACCTTAACGTTGTCAATGCTTTAATTTCTGTGTTTGTTTGAGCCTACCATCCTTCAAAAAACACACGTCACACACACACACACACACACACACACACACACACACACAGTAGTAGGAACAATCCAGTCTGAGGGACATAAGGTGATAATTGCAGTAATGTACAACCCACCACAGAACTGCAGGAGGCCAAGAGAAGAATACGATGAGAGCAACAGAGCAATGATCGACACACTAGCCGAGGTGGACAGGAGA